GTCGCGATATTTTTTTTTTTTATGTATGTTCAGCGATTATTCTTTAACACGGTGTCCGATTTCAATGATTCTTTTTTTGTTAGAAAGGGGGTACTTCAGGGGTGGTCCCATATAAATTTAGTCAAAATCTAATAATTGGGTCCATGAGAAAATCCTCAAACTCTTCATTTTTGATGTATGTTTAGCGATAATGCTTTACCACCTTGTCCGATTTATATGATTCTTCTTTTGTTAGAAAGGGGCTACTTCAGGGGTGGTTCTATATAAATTTGGTCAAAATCGGAAAATTGGGTCCATGAGAAAATCCTCAAACTCTTCATTTTTTATGTATGTTTAGCGATAATTCTTTACCACCTTGTCCGATTTATATGATTCTTTTTTTGTTAGTAAGGGGGTACCTCAGGGATGATCCCATATAAATTTGGTTAAGATGTGGTGATGGCATCTGCACGTTTTTGAAGTCGGTTTTTTTAAATTTTTAATTTACACTTGTTAAGCTATTGCATAGCTTTTATCGCGGGCTTTGAGCGCGGCGACCAAATCAAGAAATTCCATAACGTGTAACGAAAAAAAACCTAACACCCCCCACTCCGACCGGCACAGTGGTGCGGCGTTAAACAATATTTATTCAATAAAAGAAAATCGAAAAATCGAAAAATCGAAAAATCGAAAAATCGAAAAATCGAAAAATCGAAAAATCGAAAAATCGAAAAATCGAAAAATCGAAAAATCGAAAAATCGAAAAATCGAAAAATCGAAAAATCGAAAAATCGAAAAATCGAAAAATCGAAAAATCGAAAAATCGAAAAATCGAAAAATCTAAAAATCGAAAAATCGAAAAATCGAAAAATCGAAAAATCGAAAAATCGAAAAATCGAAAAATCGAAAAATCGAAAAATCGAAAAATCGAAAAATCGAAAAATCGAAAAATCGAAAAATCGAAAAATCGAAAAATCGAAAAATCGAAAAATCGAAAAATCGAAAAATCGAAAAATCGAAAAATCGAAAAATCGAAAAATCGAAAAATCGAAAAATCGAAAAATCAAAAAATCGAAAAATCGAAAAATCGAAAAATCGAAAAATCGAAAAATCGAAAAATCAAAAAATCGAAAAATCGAAAAATCGAAAAATCGAAAAATCGAAAAATCGAAAAATCGAAAAATCGAAAAATCGAAAAATCGAAAAATCGAAAAATCGAAAAATCGAAAAATCGAAAAATCGAAAAATCGAAAAATCGAAAAATCGAAAAATCGAAAAATCGAAAAATCGAAAAATCGAAAAATCGAAAAATCGAAAAATCGAAAAATCGAAAAATCGAAAAATCGAAAAATCGAAAAATCGAAAAATCGAAAAATCGAAAAATCGAAAAATCGAAAAATCGAAAAATCGAAAAATAAAAAAATCGAAAAATCGAAAAATCGAAAAATCGAAAAATCGAAAAATCGAAAAATCGAAAAATCAAAAAATCGAAAAATCGAAAAATCGAAAAATCGAAAAATCGAAAAAAGGAAAAATCGAAAAATCGAAAAATCGAAAAATCGAAAAATCGAAAAATCGAAAAATCGAAAAATCGAAAAATCGAAAAATTCGAAAAATCGAAAAATCGAAAAATCGAAAAATCGAAAAATCGAAAAATCGAAAAATCGAAAAATCGAAAAATCGAAAAATCGAAAAATCGAAAAATCGAAAAATCGAAAAATCGAAAAATCGAAAAATCGAAAAATCGAAAAATCGAAAAATCGAAAAATCGAAAAATCGAAAAATCGAAAAATCGAAAAATCGAAAAATCGAAAAATCGAAAAATCGAAAAATCGAAAAATCGAAAAATCGAAAAATCGAAAAATCGAAAAATCGAAAAATCGAAAAATCGAAAAATCGAAAAATCGAAAAATCGAAAAATCGAAAAATCGAAAAATCGAAAAATCGAAAAATCGAAAAATCGAAAAATCGAAAAATCGAAAAATCGAAAAATCGAAAAATCGAAAAATCGAAAAATCGAAAAATCGAAAAATCGAAAAATCGAAAAATCGAAAAATCGAAAAAACGAAAAATCGAAAAACGAAAAATCGAAAAATCGAAACAGAAATTCCGTAAAAAAAATAAACCTAACACCCTCCACTCCGACCGGCACAGCAGTGCAACGTTGAAAGCCGTGCATCGTCTAACGTCGTTTCAGTTTGGCAGACTTCGGCAAGGTGTTTGTGTGAGTGCGACTAGACGTATGCGTCGGCGGTGGTAAATGTGCCACCAATAATGTTATTCTACTTGCTACGAATTTAGGGTATTAAAAGTACACAGGTATTTGTGCCACCGGAGAAAACGGCATCTACCTGAGGGTATTAACAAAGATTGTCATTAAATTACCAGAAATATTACCCAGCACTGAAACTTTTATTAATTTGAAGAGGTTGAGTGGTGTGTACACACTGGGTAATAAGAAATGAATGTGACGTATTTAAAGTGTGTAGGTAGTTTTATTAATATAATAAAACTTAGTAAAAGTAGTCTTAGCGCTTTCAGCCGGTTAGGCCATCATCAGAGACTCTACAAAGATAAAAAAAACGGAGCTATAACAATAGTCAAATCGAGATATTCCTAAACATTGAACAAGAAATAAAAAAACATTACAACTTACTTGTCAGTAAATATAGAAGGTACATGAAAATTAATTATTTAAAATTTTATTTATTAGATTCAAAGGGCTGCCACAATACGGTCCCTGGTTCTCAACCATAACTTGAGGCTTGAAACGAAGCAAAACCAATCCTAACAGGTGGTTGAAAATTGAAAAGAAACGTGGGGGCTCATCCCAACACGTGTAAATAAACTGTCTCAACCTTTCCAAGGAAGAGAGATGGAAAAAACTGAACTTCGGCTTGAAGCCAGCTGCCCTTTCGAAATAGCTACCGTGAGGCGTAGGCAAGTTGGGGCACAGGTGCCCCAACTTGGTTGAGGTTGAGACAGTTTATTTACACGTGTTGGGATGAGCCCCCACGTTTCTTTTCAATTTTCAACCACCTGTTAGGATTGGTTTTGCTTCGTTTCAAGCCTCAAGTTATGGTTGAGAACCAGGGACCGTATTGTGGCAGCCCTTTGAATCTAATAAATAAAATTTTAAATAATTAATTTTCATGTACCTTCTATATTTACTGACAAGTAAGTTGTAATGTTTTTTTATTTCTTGTTCAATGTTTAGGAATATCTCGATTTGACTATTGTTATAGCTCCGTTTTTTTTATCTTTGTAGAGTCTCTGATGATGGCCTAACCGGCTGAAAGCGCTAAGACTACTTTTACTGAGTTTTATTAATATTAATAAAACTACCTACACACTTTAAATACGTCACATTCATTTCTTTTTATTAATTTGTTCTCAGCATATTATATGTATATGCGACGCACCACACTTTTCCTATAAAAGCGAAAATAATCTTGCGAAACGAAGCTAGAAGGAATTGGCAACAAAAAATGTAATTAATTTAATGAAATAATTTGCAACTGTTGGGCTAGTTAAATTAAAACAAAATAGAAGTAGTGATGCATTTTCCAATTAAGTCCACTGAGGAGGAAAACGTGTGGAAACCCAAAAGTCATAGCCGTGTACAATTTAATATCCTAAACCTCATTAAGTACTTTAATTTTTGACTAAATCTTATCTACTTAAAATTATTATTTAGTAATTGAAAAACAAGTACCAATCAAATACCACTCCAAACTCACCCATCAATATACATATTTGTGGAAAAATTAAGAGAATTTCAAACTGATACTTATGTCAAAATTCAAAGTCTACAAACGCCTGCAAAAATTAAGGATGCCTCTGTTAGAAGTAAATTAAAGACAGTGACAGAATTATGTGAGAAAGTTAAAGAAAATGCTATATCAAAAATTGACTCTGTTAAATGTGTTTCCTATTTAAGCTTACCTAAATAAAATAAACTTTTTCACTTTTTACAATAAAAAAATATTCTTTATTAAAAGTTCTGTATAGTCTAAAACGTAAAATTTATTTAATTTATAGTTGTGACTACATATTGTTTTAAATTGTGATTTTATAATATATATATATATAATAAATAAACAGTACTTTACTTTTGAGCAAAATTCATATTTTTGACAAACCTCGAATATAACCCAAAAAAAATTGATATGGTTGAAATCGTACCCCAACTGTTAGTGGCACAAATACTGTGTTTATTTAAAGAACCCTTTTGGTCGGTGGCACATTTACCGGTAACCTTTTCTGGTCAGGTACATTTGGAGGCACATTTACCTCCGCCCGTATGCGTGTAGACTAGCTGCTAACTGATTCTATCTCTTTTAGACACAATTTCGGAAAAAATGAATTTGAAAATGAATAATGATCCACAAGAATCCACAACAAAATATGGGACTACCATTGACGCGGTATTTTCCAGATATTTAGAGGATATCAAGTCTCAAACTTATGTTTCTTATTTCAGTTACCATAAACCTATAGTTTCAATGATAAAAATTCCTGAATAACCTACATGTATTGTAAGATAATAAAAATATTTTAAACAATATTAACTTCTCGTTTATTCAATAAAAGAAAAAAAATTGTTTTCTTATCGGTCACCACGTTCAAAAAGGGTAACTTGAATTAATATCAAAGAAAAAACTTGAATTGATATCAAAGAAAAACATACTGCATAAATAAAATAAATAAATAATTATAATTGCATAAGTTGATAAAAAATGCTATGCAATAGCTTTACCGCGGCAGTCCCCGAGTGCCACAAGTATTTTTATTTGTTCTAAGGTAGCACACTTTTTTATCCTAAATACCCTGCACATGCCATTGATTCTTCTGCTGCCCAATAGATGATGTAGCATTCTATAAAAAAAACAGCAGCTATTTCAAATTAGGCGCCTATCCCAAATTTAGTGCCTTTCCTCGAGGAACATTGCAAACTGTAAAGTGCGGCTCTAATAGTTTCAACCTACTAAAAGAACGTATTAAATCTATTTTATTTTTAGGTTCTTGCGAAATTCTTTCTTCGACTCCAAACTCACCACTGCTCATTTATTCCGGAACAACCACACTAATATATCCAGTACCGGCATCGAATACAACAACAATTCCTCACAACCAAACCATAGACTTGTCATGTCCAGGAAATCAAGTTAGAATCGGCCAGAACCAGTTCGGTCCGCTTGTAACTGTTACTTGCAAAAAGGGTGATCTGTTTATCGTAGGTGGTACTGAGGTGCGGTTTACAAATGCATCCTGTTCCAGAAGAGTTAATCCAACAGTTAAACAACTTTTTATTCAAGATATTCCAGAAAATGATACCATAAGCGATTGCTACAAGATTAAGGATATAAACGTTACTATAGGAAGTATTGGTTTTACCATAGATCAAAATCGCAGTTTAAGTTTTATTAAAATTTGTTTTAATACTGACAGCAGAATTGCTTTGTATTCCTACTATGAATTAACAGCAGCCATAAATTATCGTGCTAAAAATGTTTCTACTGCCAGTTTTAGACAAGATGATATATTTTATAGAATGGCAGTTTCAAATGCCCAACTATACAATAATAATCAAATCACTACTCTAAATAGAATTTTGGGTCTTGATGCTACTTCTGATAAATATATTAATAATAAAACATTTATAAGCAGAGGCCATTTGGCTGCCAAAAGTGATTTTTACTACGCCATGTTACAGACTGCCAGTTACAGATATATCAATGTTGCTCCACAATGGAGTACTCTTAACGGAGGTAACTGGAACCAAATCGAAATCGATGTTAGAAATTACGCCAGTAATAACAAAACTAACCTGCAAACATGGACTGGAACATACGGAATAGCATCTCTTCCAAATGTAGACAATATTACTGAAAATTTATATCTATATGTAGTAGAAACAGATCGTAGAAATTCCCCATGTTTTCCGATACCAGCTATATTTTGGAAATTAGTTTATGATCCTTTAAGTCAAAAAGGTATCGTCCTTATTGGACATAATAATCCGCATGTTAACGTTACGGAAGATAGTCAAAAAGTTTGCGATATAGACGTTTCCGGTAGGGTGACTTGGTTGAATTGGGATAAAAATAATATAATCAAAGGGTATAGTTATGCTTGTTCTTACAATGATAATAGGTTTCAAACCACTGTTTCGTATGTGCCGAAAATTGTTGTAAAAGGGCTATTAGTTTAATATACTATGTTTGTATTGAATGATTTATTACGTTTTTTGTAGTTATAAACTTTTATAATAAAATTATTAGAAGTATTTGGTAGTTTTCGTTACTTTTAAAAGATACACAGCGGGTTACAAGAACGATAGTTAAATATTTAATGACTCGTTAAACCCTAATCTCTCATTAAAGGTGTAGTATGGGTTGCATTCTGCTTTTAATAAATAATGACGCCGTGAGGTGGCAACGTCGCCTCCTCCGTCCTGTCCTTAGAATATATATAGTCAGGAAGGAGCAATCCTAAACGACCTTGGAATCGCGATGGTATCTAATTTTGACAGTGAACTAGACGAATATGGCAACAAGTGTTTCCGGTCTACCAGTGACGTACTGTCATAAAGACGCGTAGAAATAAAAATAATAAATTCTCATTTGCATGTATCTAAATTTACTGATTTCTCTCATTTTAACGAATTGTTATTTTCTTGCGAGATTTGCATTTTTTTTATTAACCTTCTTTATGTGAATAAATTTTACTTTAAAATTGTATGTTGGGTGGGATAAATATAGGAAAATGTTTTTGGGAGAATTTATAGAGGGATTTCATTTGAAAAATCAAAGCAATAATATATTAAAAAAAAAATATTGATTTTTTTCTTTATTATGACAATGTCTTTATTATTCTACATTTTACAATTAGTAAGGTTTGAAAAATGAATGTTTTGTAGATATGCGTTAAAAAAAATTAAATATCCTATACTTATATTTAGGTCAAACACCGCTGTGATATTTATTTCTTAGATGCTTTTGTTGGAGTACATATAAAACTTCCTAATATCGAAGAGAATTTCTGATCATTTTCCTACATAATATAATAATAATAGTGTTTATTTTACTTCTTACATATATTTTTTTTTACAAATAAATTATCTTTTAATGTAAATAAACATGGGTTAGTCCGAAAAAACCATAAGGTTGTGCTTGGAAATTACTCCTGTTTATTAGTAGCGCCATAATTGCTGATAAAAATTAATAATTATAACAATAGACTTAAGATTAATAATAATACCAATAGTAATTACAATATTAATAAATGTAAATATGTGCATTAATAATAATAATAAATAATATACATGAATAATAATAATTAATTGTACTAGCTGGCAGACTAATGATTAATTAATAATATGAACATGAGTATAATAAGAGTAGTTAATATTATTAAATTAAATACTTAATACAAATAAATATAACAATAATAATAATAATGCGTTCTTAATAAATATTATAATTAGTTAAAAAAATTATATGAAAAGAAAAAGCATTAGAATATATCAAAACACAATTTTCAATTTTCAAGAACATGTAAAAACACACATTGACAAATGAAATGTAGTAATTCTAAAATTACAAACGAATTGTAAATTATGACAAAAAAAGATGAAAAGCAATGAACAATTTTTGATGACAACAGGAAAGCATGAAAATGATTACACTTATTTGGTTAAATTTGATGTTTTTTTTTTAATTTTTATTTTTTTAGAGATTACTTTAGGTTTAATTTTAATTTAGATGTTTTAGTTTATTAGTAATATTTTTTGCAGGACAATTTTGTATTAGCAGGTAAAACACCTTTCCAAAAAAGGATCCTATAACGTAATCACAAAATAGATTATTTTTAAATGTACATTCAACTCATTATTTGTATGCTTAGTCCAGTTATGATGAAAGTCAATTTGAATGAATGAATGAAATATTTATTTAAAAAACCAAAAGAATACAAAATTCCATAGAGGTTTTGCCTCTTCACAAATATTATGCTATAGAAAAATGTATACATATACGTCTCAAAACAGAGACACGTCAAAATATAATTTAAAATAAAAAATTACTTAACAAATATACAATAAAAAATAAAATAACATAAAATAAAAATATTTTAGTCAAGTGAAAACATATTTTATACAATCATAATAATAATAATAATAATATTAATAATAATAATAATTGGGTAAATATAGAGGTGATTTTATAGTAAAATATATTGTTTTAATTTTTTTTTAAAGGTTAATACAGGATGGGTTTTTAATTCGTTTGGAAGATTATTATAAAGTGTCACTCCTTTGTAACAAATCGAGTTCTTTAAAGTATTTGATCTTATTGTAGGGAGTTGTATGTCATTATTGTTACGTGTATTATATGTATGAAAGTTAAGTACAATATGAGAATGTTTCTTTTAATGTATAACACTGTGAATATAAGTACATACTTGAAATGTATATAATTGTTCCAGATTAAATATTTCAAAGTCTTTATATAATTTTTGACTACTATTTAGTTTAGGAAGTTAATAAATATTTTTTATAGCTTTGTTTTGAAGAACTTTAAGGGGTCTGACATACTTTTCACAAGTTGCAAACCAAATAAGGTTTAGATATTGTAAGTGACAATGAATGAGTGAGAAATATATAGAACGTAGCAAATACTTTGGAACATTATTATTCAGTCTCCTTAATATTCCTACGGGTGCCGCAAGTTTGTTTTTTAATTTGTTTATGTGTGTTTGCCAACAAAGCGTTTGATCAATATACAAACCAAGGTACTTTATTTCTTCGGAAGATTTTAAAAAGTCTTTGCCAAAGTACAGTGGATGATTATAATCATTTTTTTGTTTAGAGATTATAATATATGAAGATTTAACTACATTTAATGTTAATTTGTGAGCAATCATCCACTGAGATAACAAAGACAAATCATCCCTTATCTCCGCAATCATCTCTTCTAACGATTCACCAAAATAAAGCACGGTACTATCATCTGCATATAACCTTAACTGTCCTTTAAATTTAACATTAGACAGTGAGTTAATATAGATGAGAAACAAAGTTGGGCTCAAAATTGAACCTTGAGGTACCCCACATGAGATGTGTTGTTCATAACTTTTCATCCTATCCATAGAAACACACTGTCTACGATCATTTAAGTAATTTCTAAACCACTCCAAACAATTATCTTTGATTCCTATTCTCTTAAGCTTTTCTAAGAGAATATTATGGTTTACTGTATCAAATGCCTTGCATAGGTCAAGTGACACAATGACATATTTTTTATTTTTATCTATATTTTCTTGAATGTTAGTTATCATATCTACTGCAGCTGAGGAAGTGTCACTTGACTTACGGAAGCCATATTGATATTTATAAAGATAGTTTACATTAGTTAAGAAATCACTGAGTTGAGAATTCACAATCTTTTCAAAAATTTTAGATATTATAGAAAAACAGATATAGGTCTATAATTGTTAAGCAAACCTTTGTCACCTCCTTTAAATAGGGGCGTTACCCTTGCCACTTTAACCGCACTTGGAACCACTCCACTGTTTAGGGACATGTTAATGATTTTGTGCAAGACACTTGCAATTTCACTTTTTCACTCTTTTACGGTTTTCACATCCACATCATCAACACCTGTAGCTTTGTTGGCGTTCATCTCACTAATGATGTTATTGACTTCAGATAGAGTAGTAGGAACAAATGAAAATGTTTCGGGTATTGTTGTTTCATTTGCATATATAGAAGAAAATGGAATATGTTTTGCCAAGTTCGTTCCAACATTGACAAAAAAGTTATTAAAATGTTCGCCAATTTGACTTTTATCTTTTATGTCTATATTATTCACCTTAATTGAGGAGATTTGGTCTTTACCTCTAGATTTATTGGTTAATATTTGATTTATTATCTTCCATGTTTTTTTACCATTACCGTTTGCTTGATTGAATTGATTTTCATAGTAAGAGTTTTTTGCTTTTTTTATTTTTATCTTTACCTCTTTTATACACTTCCGGTGTTTAACTTTAAAATATTCAACAGTTGGGCACTTTTTCATTTTTCTAAAATAGTAGTCTCTTGTAGTTATCGCATGCGATACAGTGTCATCAAACCAAGGTTGTGAGTTTTCTCTGATTCTTATGGTTTTAGTCGTGTAGGTAGTTGAATTATTAAAACAGTTTATGAAAGTATTATGTTTCATCAACATCTAGGGGTAGATTGTGTTCAAGCTCACGAAGCGCCGTTTTGACTTTGCCATAATTTTGCCATAACGTTTGTGAAATGTACGTAGTATTTTACTGTTTGACTCATTTGCAATGGTTAAAATTTGAAAATCATGGTCAACGAGGCAGTTGGTTATAATTCCCGAAGATTCAACAACTCCCGAAGTATTTGTTAGCACATGATCTATTAGAGTTTTTGAATTTCGTGTAGGAATACTTTTATTGCAAAAGTCAAAACCATTGTGAGAACATACACTTTTATATAATTCAGTATTCTGACTGTTTACCAATAAATCAATGTTTAGATCTCCTATTATTATTGCTTTGGTGTTGCCCAAAGCATTGAGATCACCTTCCAGTAAATCAAGTGTAACCTCAATATCTTCATTTGAACTACTTGGGTTATATATGATAATAATAATAATAATAATAAGCTTTATTGTCTAACAGGTAGTCCCATTTACAAGACAATACAATTAACATATAATTAAAGTATCTATATAAATTATAAATAAAGTAAACAATGTTGTTTCAATACAATTAAAACAATGATTGAAAAAATTATTTATAAAACAATGAAATTGAAATAATGATTAAAACAATGATATGGCAGCAAGATGTATTGTAGCTGATTCTATATATACTCTAGCATAGGTGACATTGCCTTTTTCTATTATTTTTTCAACATTATGGTTTAGGCCATTTTTAATGTATATACCACAGCCAACCCCTCTTTTTATTCTAGAAGAATATACACTGGTATAAGAGGGTATATTGAAAAACTTCTCTTCATCTTTTTTACCCAGGTTTCTGTCGCTACAATAATATCTATATTTGTATTAATGGTTTTAAGTGTAACTTCTAGTTCATCGATTTTGTTTTTTATGGACTGAGCATCTAAATATAATATAGTTAAATTACCCAATTTCTGAAATTTGTTATTAAATTCTTTAATACTGCTATATTTATTAACCATAGTACCTACATCAACGGTAGAAGCCATTAAAAAAAAATCTTAGTTATTACCTTATTTATTGTTGTTTC